TCAGGGGAAAAAAAACCTGATCTTATAAGGGGCGTGAAGCGATGTCACTGATGTTGTCACTATTGATGTGACGCTATACCTTGTTCATATATAAACAAATGTAACCAGCTAACCTCAAACACCAGTTATACTTTGCGCGTTATATTTTGTTTTTCATCACTGGTTTGTACACTCATACAGAAAGACCTTACTATGGCATCTACTTCAAACTGCCCTACAGGATGATGTTATCATACATTATATTGAGACATGCTATTCTAGGTGCAAGAAGAAAGTATATTATCAACTTAAGCTCAAGGAGGCCAATAAGGACAGAAAGAAGGTGTGGAAAGTTTTAAATAATATAACGGGTAGAGATCTCGCTCCGGTGGTGTCACACATCTACACGGATGCAACGTTTATAAGTAAAGCTAAGGATATATCCAATTATTTCGCAAATTACTACAGCAATAAAGTAACAAATTTAAAATCTAATATGAGTAGAGGAGATCCCACCCTATCACGCTGTCTTATACAGGATGCTGTCATGAATAATAAGCAATGCTAATTTAAGTTTGAGGCAGTGAATGTTGAGATGGTGGAGAATTTATTAACATCCTCAGGTTTTGATAACATAGATAGTAACCTGGTGTCAATAGCAGACCTATTAGTCCACTCCCTGTTCTAAGTAAAATTATGGAGAGGACTGTTCATGAGCATATTCAACATTACTTAACAGAACATCATCTTCTCAGTCTGTTTCAACATGCTTAGAAACCTGGTCACTCCACCAGCTCAGCTCTCATTCATATGACAGATAACTGGTATAAACATCTAGATGATTAGAAAGTGGTCGGGGTGATATTCTTGGACTTTAGTGCTGGATTTGATTTGAGAAATCATGATCTTTTGATTGATAAACTAAAATGTTATGGATTTTCACTAGCTGCTCTGTGCTGGATGAAAAGTTATTTGTCTGGAAGAAGGCAAAAGGTTTATTATAATGGCTATTTCTCTGAGGGCTCCGACATGAACTATGGTCTACCTTAAGGCAGCTGCCTCAGTCCACTTCTCTATTCAGTTTTCACGAACAATCTACCGTGTGTCTTTGGTAAACCTCATCTTATAATGTATGCCACCATAATTCCACCATGTTTTATTCAGCCACTGACAACTCCGAATTGACCAGCGTATTACAACAAGATTTGCTGAACGTGTTTGACTCGATAAGTAAAAACAACGCGATTTTAAACGTATCCAAATCTATGTTAATTGGAAGTAGATAACACTTAGTCAACAGCCCACAACTGAATCCTTCCGTAGCTGGATCGGTATTGGAACAGGTCACCCAGATCAAATTACTTGGTGTTACCATAAATCACCACCTTTCATGGTCTCAGCACATCGACTCTGTTATTAAGAAAATGGGACAGAGCATAGCTATTATCTCATCTGGAGTATTGTTCAATCATTTGGTCAGCAGCTAATACAACTTAACAGGCTTCAGTGAGTCCCGAATAGTGAGGCCAGATTAGTGTTTAGGTGTTCATATAATACAAATATCGCTAAGATGGATAATAAACTTTCTTGGCTTCCTGTACAAGCTAAATTATACTATGGCTTACTTGTATTTATAAAGAAAGCAGTACTGTTAAAAACACAACACTTTTTTCTGCTCAGCTGCAGTATCAAGATGAAATACATAATCATACTACATGATTTTCAACAAACCACAATTTAGTAATTCCTCGAGTTTAAAGTAACTTTTTGAAAAACTCTCTTATATTTAGACCATCTTTTAAGTGGAATAAATTGCCATATGCAATTAGAGAATTAGCTGCTGTTCATAATTTCAAAAAACACTTAAAAGCCTATTTACACAGCTTTTAATTATTGTAAATATTGTAAGAGGGAAATGTGATTTGTTTTGGAAATTGGGGTGTTTTGCCTCAGTGTTATTGATATTTATACGCTTATATTTTCACAATTGTAAAATCTCACTGTGGATGTAAGAGCCAAATTGTGGATATTTTGCATCCACTTT